GGGTAAAGTAACTCCTAGTTGAACTATACATATCTTGAGGCATCTAATCCCTTTCTTAAGTTCTTAGATGAAGTGTTTCAATATGAAATTAGAGCCACTAAAGATACTGGGTTTGAGTCTTGTTATCACTCATTTATAACAATTGTGCATGTTTTAGGCCTTTGATGGAAAAATGAATCCGGCTTGCACGTGAGGGGGTGTGTTAAAGGTTTAATAAAATAAAAGTGGTCCCCCTCTAAGAGCTTATGCATTTTATATGAGACGGTTGTAATGAAGTCTCTTTGATCATTTTGTAGGAATTATATAAGTGGAAAAGAGTGGTAAAATAAAAATGTAAAAATTGTCATTTGACCAATTTTCTTACGTAATGTAGGCACTAAACAATGGACTTCTTGTAGACCCTCATGATCAGCAAGCAATAGCTGATGCACTGCTAAAGCTAGTGTCGGAAAAGAACTTGTGGAATGAGTGCAGAAGGAATGTCTTGAAGAACATACATCTGTTTTCATGGCCTGAACATTGTCGAACGTACTTGACAAGGGTTGCATCATGTTGGATGAGGTACCCGCAGTGGCAAACTGACACCTCAGCAGATGATCTGGCAACAGAAGAATCCCTGAATGATTCACTTAAAGACGTGCAAGATATGTCTCTAAGGCTATCCCTTGATGGAGATAAAACATCGCTAAATGAATCACCTGATGTGGCTGCAGTTGGGAACAATCCTGATGTGCAAGATCGAGTTAAGCTCGTCATGAGTAAAATGAAAAGGCTAGAAAAGGGTACACAAGATTACAAAGTTGACGGGATGCCACCAACTGACAATATCTCAAGCAAATATCCAATGTTGAGGAAGTGTCGTAAATTGATCATTATAGCACTTGATTGCTATGATATCAATGGAGCACCTGAAAAAAAGATGATTCATATAATACAAAACATGTTTAAGGCCATTCATATAATACAAAATATGTTTAAGGCCATTAAAATAGATGCACAAAATGCAAGATTACTGGGATTTGCAGTATTGACAGCTATGCCTATATCAGAATTGACTGAGTTTTTGAAGTCAGGGAATATTAAAGTAAATGATTTTGATGCTTTAATCTGTAGTAGTGGTAGTGAAGTGTATTACCCTGAAGACGATGGAAAGCCTTGTCCGGATCCAGATTATGCATCACATATTGATTATCGTTGGGGTTCAGATGGTTTGAAGAAGATCATTCGGAAACTAATGAATACGTCAGTAAATGATGTCAAATATGGTGCTGTTATTGAAGAAGATGCCAAATCTAGCAATTGTCATTGCCTGTCCTATTTAATAAAGGATTCCAATAAGGTAAATATAGTGCATCTTTGGTACCTAGTATTGGATAGGACGAGATTGTAAAACAAGCAAGATTTTAACTTTCTTTTCTTGATATTGTCAATACTATCCCTATCCTCCCTACCATACACGCCAATAAGTTTTAGGAAACAGGAATCTGAACTTGAATAGTTGTGGTTTTTGGTAGATTAGCTTTTAAGTTGGATGATATATAATTTTGCAGGCAAAAAAAGTGGATTATATGAGGCAGAAGCTTAGAATTCGAGGACTACGTTGCCATTTGATGTATTGCAGAAACTCCACAAGAATGCAAGCTATTCCTCTCCTTGCATCTCGGTCACAGGCTCTCGGGTAGAATTTTACGGTTTAAGGGGCATTTTAATATTACAAATAATTGAATTCTTCATTCGAATATTCTCTGACATGGTATGCGTCCTCCGAATGGTTTACTTGAGTTGAAGTTTTAACCATTCATACTTTCGAGGCATTTTTCCTTTGCAGTACTAGACAATATTTTAGCTTCATTTTCATTTTCATTTTCATTACTGTCCCATCACATCACCAAACATGAAAGTAATATTAAATGTTCATGCATTAATTTCTTACTAGAATCAGATCTTATCAAGTTCTTGGATTTTGATTGTTGTTTCTCCTCCCCATTAACGATATCTATAGGTACTTTTTTGTCCGGTGGCGGTTGAACTTAGCAAATATGTACGTGATACTTGGTGAAACTGGAGACACAGATTACGAAGAATTGATTCCTGGGACCCATAAAACCATTATTCTGAAAGGGGTTGTGGAGAAAGGTTCCGAGGAGTTGCTCACAACAGTAAGAAGCTACCTGAGAGACGATATAGTTCCAAAAGACAGTCCTCTTATCGCTTATGTGAGTGGAGAGGCAACAGCAGAAGAGATTGCTAATACATTAAAGCAGGTATCCTCATCAGGAATGTTAGATAGCATTCTCGATTCGCTCTCGGAATGCAAGTACTGTATCGTCCTTTCGCTTCACCATGCTTGTAAAATGCTCATGTTATTTTTCATCACTTCCTAAAGATTTGAACTATTAAATCGGTTCTGATTGATATTAAACAATGTAAATGGGAAAATGAGAAGGAAACTTGATGGTTTTTTTCTGGTTGTTATATTAAACTATTAAAATTTAGCAACTTGCACATGTATGTTGCGACCTTCAATATGTCCATACACTAGATGGATATGGCAACAGACAATGCACATTGCTAAAGATTTGCTAAGCATTTTGCTAGATTTCAATTGACAAGAGGTTACTAGCTTGAATTCCCTATATAATGGTATATCTTTTTAGCCTTGTTACATTTCATAGATATTTATTAGCTTAAATTGTGATTATTCATCAAAGAATTGCGATGATTAGATGTAAATCGAGTTAGTTTGGACAACCCGCCTTTCAACGGCTCAATATAAGTCATGTATGTA